ATCAAGCACATTAATTTTCCTTTCTCACATAGCAATAACACAGAGAAAGGCTCCTGCCAGAAGCACTTCCATGAGTGTCTGCTGATTGGGTTTCTCAACAGCAGAGAAACTGCCTGTCTCTCAATTTACTAGCAAATGGATTGCAGAACCAGTGGGATGCTTAGCAGTAGGGAAGGCCTTGGCCAATTCCCACCTTTAAATGAAAGAGAAAATGGCTGTGGGCTCTGGCCCTCATTCCCTGCTGCTCTCCTAGGAACACTCCAGTGTAGATGCAAGATTGCTTGTCCTGTGCTCATCAGAGATTTCCAGCAGAAATCTGACCGTGGGACTCTGTAGAGGCTTACTCCATTGCTTACTGTTCCGTCTGACATGTCTTCATGCTTACCTTAAGTTAATTTATCAGTGATTTTGTTTTAAAAACATCAAATGTAACTTCTGGTTTTAAATCTCCTAGACTAATATGCGTATTAGGATTTGTCTTAATTGTTATTTAGCTTTCTCCCACATTTTAGGTGGAAAGCATATTTTTCTAGGGTACTATAATATAATCTCATTATTTCTTTCCCTTAAATTATTTTGCTTTTCAAATTAACTAATCTTGATGAATTCACATTGGGTTCTACCTTTGATAACTGCTGTAAATAAAACCCAGTCATTTTTATTTTCCATATTTCTGAGGAATACCTGTAGAAGTTGAGTATTCTTTACCTGAAATATTTGGAATTAGCAATGTTTTTGATTTCCAAAGTTTTGGAATATTTACATATGCATAGTGAGATGCTATGAGGATGAGATACAAGCCTTGTGATACAACTCAATTATATTCCGTATATACTTGATTCATATAGACTAAGATATTTTTTACATTCTGATGGTTAATCTCAGTTGTCAACACTATAAGATATAAAACCACCTGGCATATAACCCTCCTCAGGAACTCTATCTTGATTACTTTAATTGATATTGGAAGACTCACCCATGGGTAGCATCATTCCCTAAGCCAATTTCCTGGACTGTATAAAAATGGAAAAAGTGAGCTGAGCACAGCGATTCTTCACTCTTTGCTTCCTTGTGGTGGGCACAACTATATGCCTCAATCTCTTGACAACCTGACATGGTCCTTCCCTGCCATGATGAATCCTGGAATTGTGAATCAAAATAAACCTCTCCATCTTTGATTTTTTTTTTTTTGGTCAGTATATCTTGTCATACTAACAGGAAAAAGTAACTAAGACATACATATTTCACTTTTTTTTTTCTTGAAAGTATTGAAATATCAGATATGTAACAACATGTGTTATCAGAAAGTTTCAGACTTCTGGGCATGTTACTTCACTTGAGGGAGATGAAAACAACCAATACTCTTCTTGTAAGGTCCTAATACAAACCAAGTTGGGATTTCACTAGGGTTCACCTGTGGAAGCTAATGAAAACATTTAGGCTTACTTAGAGCAGTGGGTGGGGCATTGCATTCATTCAAGAGCATGGATGACCATAGAGAATCCACACTGGAAGGTATATACACAGCAGGAATGACGGCTGCCTGTGCCTATGTACATGGAATTCCCTCCCCTCATCTCTGTCCTAGTTTGGGTTTTACTGCTCTGAACAGACACCATGACCAAAGCAGCTCTTATAAGGACACCACTTAATTGGGGCTGGCCTACAGGTTCAGAGGTTTAGTCCATTATCATCAGGTGGAAGCATGGCAGAGTCCAGGCAGATATGGTGCTGAAGAAACTAAGATATCTACTCCTCTGAAGGAGACCAGGTGCAAAATGGCTCCCACGTAGCTACCAGGAGGGTCTCAAAGCCCACCCCCAAAATGACACAATTTCTCCAACAAGGCCACACTTCCTAATAGTGTCACTCCCTGGCCCAAGCATATTCAAATCACCACATTTTCCCACCTATATCCTCTTGTTCCTCCCAGAGATTCTATGGCCACATACAATGAATGTGGAATTGCAAACAATTTGTTGTGTTGGTGAGGGGGTAGCTGGATGCTCAAGTGAGGATTCCATGACCCAACCTGCCTTATCCCTTCCTTCCAAGAGGAAAAGTCAGCAAACACAGCTGTGATGATCTTTGTTGAGCAAGCCTACCTGGATTGTAGAAAATTGCAGCAGTTTGGCTAGAAGGATAGGCCTGTACAACAGAGCGTTTCATACTTGTGTTTTGTTGCCTGCCTTCCTTCCTCCCTCCCTCCCTCCCTCCCTCCCTCCCTCCCTCCCTCCCTCTCTCTCTCTCTTTCTTTCTTTCTCTTTCTTTCTTTTTTCCTTCCTTCCTTCCTTCCTTCCTTCCTGCCTGCCTTCCTTCCTTCCTGTCTTTCTTTCTTTCTTTCTTTCTTTCTTTCTTTCTTTCTTTCTTTCTTTCTTTCTCTTTTCCTTCCTTCCTTCCTTCCTTCCTTCCTTCCTTCCTTCCTTCCTTCCTTCCTTCCTTCCTTTCCTTTTTTTAAATTAGGGGAAGGTGTCATGCCACACCACATATAGAGAAGACAGTTTGCAGGAACCATTTCTCTTCTTCCATCATGTGAATTCTATGCCTCAAACTCAGATCATCAGTCCAAGTAGCAAGTGCCCTCACTCAATGGGCCATCTCATTTGCCCAGACCAGGATTTTGGATTAGAAATTCTCAAAGTGTAATAGCGTTTGGGGAGCAAGGGAAGTGCAGTGTGGCTTCATAGGTGTAGTGTGGGTCCAAAGAGTCACTTATTCCTCTACCGAAGAAGTGTTTGACCATAGAGCAAATGTGAAAATTAAAAAAGAAGAAAGTCTACACATTTACTAATAAGATAGCTAATACAGATTTTCCATTGAATTAAAAAAACAGAATCTTAAAGCACATTAAGAAGCCATATGTAAGAACTGTAACTAATGTGGTGCTTGATGCCCATGACTATCCTTCATGGCACACAGGCGGAGTCAGTTACCTTCATTGCACTTATGGTAACATCAGCTTAGGCAGATATTTCAAACCATCTACAAGAGGCAGCTCTGAGACTCACACCTTCATCTTTCTACTAAACTAGGGTGTGCTTGTGTAATGTAACTGAGTGCTTAAGACACAAAATAAAGGAAAATTACTATGGTTTTCTAAAACTACCTTTATCTTTAGAGACAGTAATATAAAGTTGGTAGTTCCTTTGTACAATGTACTACTTACACTAATACTTAATTCCACTCTGCCATCATTATCAAAGCTATGAACAACCCACTTTCTCAATGTCTGGGCCACATGCCAGAGATAAGAAGCAGTTGTAAAGACTGTTGGCACTGCAGTCTGCTGGGGACAACCTGAGACCTAGTCTTGGCTCCTGCTGTTTACAGAATATCTGTCCTTGGTAAGGGACACATGTTTAACTTTTTAAGTGCTCAATAAATGACAACTATATATCAACAATGAACTAATTTCCCTGGTAGTAACCTGTACCCATAAACCCAGGAACTTAGGATACTGAGATAGGTAGATTATCTGAGACAGCAGGTTCAAGGCCAGTCTAAGAGACACAGTGAGACCTTTGTTTCATAAACAAAACAAAAAGAATTTTGAGAGGCCCAGAATATAGCTCAGTTGGTAGAGTACTTGCCTAGCATTCACAAAGCCCTGAGTTCAGTCTTGACTTCTGCACTTCTTAAAACCTGGCATGGTGACTCGTGTCTATAATCATGCCTGTCATGGAGGAAGGAGGATCAGGTGTGGAGGATCAGGTGTTTAAGGTCATTTTCAGATGTGTGGTGAAGTCAAGTCCATCCTGACTACATGACTGGTTAGCTGTGCCAAAATCCTGTCATATCTATACAGGTCTCCTAAGTTCACTAAAAACTTAGAATAAGACACATGAAGTACATACCAGTGCTCTCCATGGGGTGTTCTATGGAAAGTCACTTGAGTCTAACTTGCTTCTTTTTCTTGTCTTCCTCTTCTGTCCTTTCCATTATGATTGATGGGACATTTTGGGTTAAATGCATACATGGGCCATGCCAAAAGCGTGAAGCCAGATGAATGGCAGAATCCACTGGAGTGATGTGGGAAGTGTTGGGCTCTCAGGGAATTCTATGTGCCTGAGTATTCCAGGGGTACTGGCGAGTGTGCACCAGCAAGCCTGCCCTTACACTTGCAGGGTGTGATACCTTTAGGGGAAGGACTTTGGTTTACACAGCACCCGAAGCCACTAACTAAATAAATGATAAAGCTCAGCTTTAGCTTAAGACATAATGAGTCTATGATTTGGGCTTAGTAAGTACAAGGATGAGTATGATACTAGAAGTCATATGGGGAGAGACCATCAAAGAGACATGCATGGTGGAGAAGAGGGGGCAGGGAAGAAGACAGAAGCCTCAGGAAGAAGGAAGAGATGCGGAGAGAGCTAGCAGACTGAGCAGTAGGGGCACTTTCTCAGTCATGTGGCTTTGAATGAAAGCATAGCAGTACTTTTAGCTGAGAAACATAAGAAAAAACATTTTATGTAGAAATTGGCATAAGAAATAGTGCTAAGAATAAGAAGAATGGAGCCTACAGTATTCTCATTTAGCAGAAGCATAGACCTGTGGGGTACTTGTGACTTCCTGTGACAGGCTTTTCTGTCAAGTGTGGATATGGCTCGTGGCATCCCAAGTCAATGGCGAAATAAGGATGAAGATTGCTGTCTACAAATCACCAGAATGGGTCTAACAACATTAAGATTTTAATTAGCCAGTGAGTACACAGAAAGGTTCACCCACTGAGTTCTTCAAAATGTTGTCCACATTCCATTTGTACAAAGGGAATTTCTGTGCCTTGTAGTATAGGATAGCCCACAGGATGGCAGCATTTTCCTAGATGTTACCAGCTCTGTGTTCATTGGTTGAAAGTGAACTGGATATGTTTGCTCCCTTACTTACATGCTGGATAGCAAAGTAACTGCATTGGCAAAAATCAAATTAAATAGCAATCCTCTCTCTCTCTCTCTCTCTCTCTCTCTCTCTCTCTCTCTCTCTCTCTCTCTCTCTTCTTTCAGTTAAGAAGAAGAAGCCTAAACTTCTGAACAAATTTGATAAGACAATTAAGGCTGAACTGGACGCTGCAGAAAAGCTCCGGAAAAGGGTAGGTTGCTATTTTGGTTTTGCACAAAAGTGTACAGTGGTTTCATTGTTACAAACCTGGGAATTGCAGGACTGTGTAATGTATAATAATGATGGCAAAAACAGTAACAATAGTAACTGTAAAAGAAATCATCCATGGCTTTCCTGGCACCTCCACACAGTTCTGTGTGAACCGGCCATGTGGGACAGAACTGCACTCAAGGGCCACAGAGGAAGAGAGTGATCCACAGGACCTGGTGTCAGCCCACTTCCATGGAGTTCGAATTACATGGATTCTGTAACTTAGCCACTGTAGGTTTCCTTGTTTATAGAAATGAAACAGGTGCAAACAGTCCTAAATCTCTCTTGCTTTAAAGCTCAGATTAGAAGAAAACATCACTGCCATGTTCTCGCTGTGTTTCTACCATCAGCTAATTCCGTAACATGACCATGAAATGTCACAGACTTAGAACTCTCCTCACTTAGGTAAATGAAGCTCATGACAACTCTGCTCTGTCGTCAAGTAATTGTAATGTTCTGGTTTCTCACCAGATGATCCAGCCTTTGAAAACAATGAATCGACATTATATTGAAGTTTATATCTTCCTTAGCCTGATCATAGTCATGTAATATAATAATAATATAATCCACAATATATTTATTAGACTGTGGTTAAGATCTTTAATTATCTGCTTGCTTTTCTTAGAAATTTCCTTTGATTGTATTTAAGTTTAGAATCTGTACTGGTCATTAGTTTTTCTTACCTGTGCATTTCTACTGAGCAGCCATTAGCTACAAAAAGGTGGACAAAAAGCACACAAGCCAGGAGACAGCAGTAAGAAGAATATGTAAGTTAGGGACTGAAGTGGGATAAGTTTGCACTTTGTTTACTGGAAGTAGCGGAAGCAAAAGGCCAGCGTTGGACAGAACTTCACAGATGAGCTTTGAGTAGCCCAGGTCATCCGCACATAGAAACACTGACTCCAGAGGATGCTGCTGACAGTGACGATTCACTGCACCTAGATTTTTGTCAATAGAATGATTTCTTTGACATGGTTTCTTAGAGTGTTTACTTTGTTTCACTTCATAAAGCAAAGCCATATATGGCTTTTGTTATTGTTTGTGTGTGTGTGTGTGTGTGTGTGTGTGTGTGTGTGTTTGATGGTGGTGGCAGGGAGATTTGTGTTTCTTAATCCAAATGAATCAGTGGCGTCTCCCCTCATCTCAGTGCGTTTCCTTCACCTTCTCTGCTCCGGATAGATCACGTATGCAAACATGCAGGAGGCTGGTGGTACAGGTGTCTTTGGGGCTTAAGCATCAACAAAGGACTTTAAAGAAGGACTTTTCTGGGCTTATAATGAGTGAAAAATATGGGCTGAGTTACTGAGGCGCTCATGAGTCAGCAGGATCTAAAGTGCTGGCCCTGTCCACAGGGTGCTCTCCAGTCTTGCTCATCTGGAGCAGTGATGGTGTTTTCCTGTAGGAGCACTGTGAGCCTCTAATAGGACACATTAAAGAGACAGGAACAGCAGACACATGTGACCTTTTCTCCAGACATGTTGTGACAAAACCGTCTACATAATTAAATCTTGTTTACACTTGTTTTTATAGCTAGGTTTTCAAAGGATACAATTCAGTTTTCAAAAATCCTTGAGGGCTGAGCTAAGGCACCCCAGACAGCTAAGTACAGCCTCGTTTATATCACACATCCAAACTCCTCACATTTGAATAATCAAATTTAAAGCTTTAAAGGTTTAATTATTCATTGATTGTGTACATATGCATTTGTGTGTGTGTACATGGGTCTATCTTGAAGGCACAAACTATGAATATCTAAAGACAACTTGCTCGCATTAAATTTGGATTGTCAGGCCTGGTGGCATGTGCCTTAGCTTACTGAATCACCTTGTTGTCCCTCGTTGAATTCATGTGTTATTTAAGACTTTCCTTTCTCCCCATCACCAACACACACAGGAGTTGATATAACCTAATGAAATACAATCATTTATTTTTTTAGAATTATTTTCGATAATGGTATTATATTATAATGAAATTATTATTATAATGGTAATATAAATGAGATTTTTTAAGGGAAGAGGAAGGCTATTTACTCTTCTTGCTTGTTGTTGTCAGTGGTGGTAGATTGTTTGTTTTATAGGAGATAGGGATGGTAAGAAAATATAACAAAACCATACTAAAATGAAAACAGGAAAGGTCACACATAACATAGGCTTTGAATCATGCTACAGACAAAGACACTTCCACTTCCTTACAGGCAGAAGGAGAGAAACAGAAGCGACTAGAATATGTGTTCAGTGTAATGGCCATCTGCACCAAACCCATAATGCAATGCTCTGCTGTACCTGTGGATGGGTAGTGAAGAGTCTTGATCCCACACTTCCCACATCACTCCAGTGGATTCTGCCGTTCATCTGGCTTCACACAAAAACAGCATGGCCCATGTATACATATCTCCAGTGAACTGTCCATATATAAGTAAACCACAGTGCAGGATAGATCATTTTTAGGCAATTCATTTTAAATACTGTATGTTTTTAAATCAGAATATGTATAGAGTAGCAGTGTTAGTAGCTAGGGAAGATCTTGAAGGAAAGAAGCTGACTAAACACAGACACATTAACATTACAGTCAGCTGTAATGACTGTAATGTCCTGTGTGAGCAGCTGTGGTGATTCTCAATGTTAATCACCTAGCCTGTGGCTTGAGGTGATCCAAAGGATGCCTAGTAGAGCCAAAATGGGTTGCTACTTTGCCAAAGAGGAACAATACGCTGTAAAATCTGTTATGAATCTGGTACTCCTGCTTTTGGGTCTGTTAGTCGTACAATGGACACAAAAGTGGCTTGGGTAACTAATGTTGGATATGAAATAAGCTGAGGAGGGTCCACCAAAAGATAACAAACTGGAATCCCTGGGCTCTGTGTAGGTTTCATTACTCAAAGAAAAGTTCCTTCAGATGTGATTGCCTTATCGATCTAGAGGTCAAGATCATACTGGAGTCTCCATTTAGTCCCTAAGTGTGGTCATGTTTGCTTAAGAGAGGAAAACTTGATACAGAACGAGCCACGCAGAGAGAATCTGATGGCAGTCGGAGTGCCACAAAGTCAAAGAACATCAGCAAGAAGAAAGGAGAGGACTTCCCCTGGGGCCTCTAGAGAAAAGTATGGTCTTAGCGCTATTTTTATTTTAGCCCAGAAAAAGTGATTTTTCACATTTACTTGCCTAGAAATGTGAGCAAGCAAATTTCTCTTGTTTTAAGGCACCAGAATTATGCAGGTATGGCCCTGCACCCATAGGAAACTAAGCCCACACTGGTAGACTCAAAAATGATCTCCTCAAAAGATAATCCTGTTTGCCTGGTATCTATAAATGTTGCCTTGGAAACATCTTAAAAATGGGTCTTTCTAGGTATGATTTTCATGGAAAAAGTCTGGAAAGGGCCCTAATGTGTTGTTTCCAGAAAGGCAAACAAAGATTTAGTCTAGACAGAACAGACAGTCAGATACAAAGAAAGACCATGCGGAGACAGAAGACGAGATTAGAGCAATGCAGCCATGTACCAAGGAATGCTGACAGCTTTGGGAGCTAGTTGGCATGAGCAGAGACTCCCCTGGAGCCTTTCTTTCTGACACCTTGATTCCAACATCACAAACCTAGTTTCATCTTTCATTTCTCCAGCCAGGAAATTTGCAGTAATTTGTTACACTCCCCCATAGGAAATCGATGGTATTTTTAAAGGACCATAGAGAAGGCACTTAGGAGCTCATGCATGCCACAGAGGCAGTCATGTGTTCCACTCAGTCAGACAAGCCAAATCAACCCTGACTTCGGCCTGAGCGCATGGCCAAGTGGCCCTCACACACTCCTTGTTTATTCTTCCCGTTTGCCAGACACTTCAAAGCTAAGGTGACGCCTTGTTGCCTCTGACAGGCCCAAGGCAATCTGCTGCTAGTAGTGTTTGCCCCCACATATAACATAAACATCCTCATTAAGAAAACAAGTGGGGACACTGTAGATTGAGAAAAATGTGGTTATCTTCAACAAAGTTCATTTTTCATCATTATCAGCACACATCATTTTAAAAATTAAGGTTATAATACTCATTACAGTTTTATGTTGGTTACTTAACATAGCTTGGGTTTTTGTTTGTTTGTTTGTTTGTATTTTAAGTGGGCTATTCTGTTTAGCACGCAGAAAGAATTCTAAACAAGTCTTCGGCGACTTATTAAATATCAAATCTAAATATCATTATTCAGTGGCATCGTATTTATGCAGTTGTGCCTTTCTAATAGGGTAAAATCGAGGAAGCAGTGAATGCATTTGAAGAATTGGTTCGAAAGTACCCTCAGAGCCCACGAGCAAGATACGGCAAAGCACAGGTACCCTGGGCCTGTCTCATTGGAATACTATTCTGGCATTCACATGTTCTGTGCAATCAGATTTTTCACTCGTTTGTGTTTGCTTTTTTTTTTCATCTGCTCTTTTTATAATTTCTACATAGTCAGTCTCTCAAGTATATAATACACCCCCAGTGTTGGGGGGAATGCCATTTTAATTAGGACTGTTTCAATACTTCGTGCTGAGTCCTGTAACATCCAGATGACTTATCTTGCCATTGGTCCTGTATCGATGTATTCCTTTCTATTTGAATTTCCTCATGGTTTTGATTTCAGCCTCTTTGGAACTTTTAGATTCTATTGTGGGACTCAAGAATATAAATCTGCCTTGGGGAGACCTTTTGAAATGTAACATGGACAGCACTTTGTTTCTGACAGTTTCTTTGATGTGACTCATGTCTTACCAGCCACCTCCCTCTTCCTTTCTTTCCCAGTCACCTCCTATTCTCTGTTTTGTCATCTTTTAACCCCTGTCACAAGGCTTGCCACACTCATCTGCAACTTCATGAACCCACCTGTGCTGGCAATGTGTGGTTTGCCTTTGTTTGATTGTTAGATACGGACACAAAAGAGGGTACAGAAATGGTTCAACATAAAATGGTTTATTCTCTTCCTGACCTAAACATAGGAAGCAGGTTCCCTGGACACTGCCTTGGGAAATATGGCAGGAATAGAAGGCAGACCCAGAAGGAAGGTTTAATATGATCCTTTGGGGCTTTCCATGAGAAAAGTAAGGGGAGGTAGTGTCCAGCCCAGGATTGCCTGGCTTGAACAATACTGGCAAGCCTGGGCCACAGGAATGACTTCTAATTACTGAGCATCTGACTCTGGCATGATGAAGGCAAAGGATGTGGCTTCCTATGCTGTGGGGCCAGAGAAAGGAGGCCAAGCTCTGAGATGCATGGATTGCATGTAAAGGCTTGTTTGCTGCTGTGCGCTCTCTCAGACAGCAAACCCTAGTAATTTCCTGAGGTGCTAGCATAAAGCACAGTCAATTTTAAAATGTTTCCAATGTAACACGAGGAACACCTGAGGGCTACTTACTCTAAGGAAATGTAGTGAGAGCCCACTGCGTGTCAGGCTCTACTGGGTATTGGAGATATGTTCGTCCCAAAAATGTTCTCACAAAGCTCCATTGTGAAGGAAAGAGGTTGGATAAGGCAAGGAAATACCATGCATAGACTTGCAAGTGGTGACTGTTAGGAAAAGGACAGGAAATGGGAAACATCTCTGGATATGTAAGGCGGTTACCATGACGAGAAATGGTCACCAGGAAGGTAATATTTGAGTAAGCCCTTGGAAGTTTTTATAAATGAATATACTGTGGAATCTTACAAAGTATTAAAAATGAATAAATATATTAGATCATATTACCTAACAATGCATGCTGTAGGCAAAGGAGGAAGGCAGTGGTGTTCTAAGAGCACACTTATTAAGAGCTTTGGTTGCAGGTGATATGAGTGACTGTGACAGGAGATAGTAGCTGAGATGTGTCAGAGTTGTGGAAGGAGCTGTCTGGGTAGAGGGAGCAGGTAGACAAAGGCCATCACTCAGGGCAACTATCTTGACATCAGAAAGCTGAACAGAAAGAGAGGCGTGCTGAGAGCATGGGGCAGACAGGGACACTAGTGACACCTCAGGGCTCTTATTCTCCGTGCCTGAGGAAGCCTTTGCAGACTGTTACATGTGCAGGTGACCTTTGTAAAGATTGCTTTGATTGCCAGTTGGAAATGGGCTATGAGAGCAGAATCAGATGCATAGAAAGTAGGAGGCAGTCAAAATGTGCTGTGCGTGAGACCTGGTAGAAGGTGTGGACTGTGGGCTGGCCATGGAGGAGGACAAGGACAGAGATAGATTAGAAAGGACTCTAGATGGAAAGGTCATGGGAAAATAATTGACCAGTGACTCCTGGTTTGTTGGGAACAGCTGAGGAGAAGATAATGCCAACTAACTGACCAAGTGGAACAACGGGTTTGAAGAGAGGTTGAAATCGGCAGTTTGCTTTTGAACTGAAGTTTGCAGTTGCAATAATTTTTAGATATCCATGTGGCTGCATCAAGGAGACTGTGGGTTTTGTGGAATTGGAACTCAAGAGTAAAGCCAGAGCTGGTGAATAAATCTGTCAACGTGTAAAGTTCCAACAGGCCTCCTTGGGGAAGAAGGAGAAGACCAGTCACAGGGAAGCAACGGGAGAAAGCTATAGACGTTAGTGGAGCAAGGAGAAGCAGATGGCGTTCCCTTGTGTGTGACCCTCACAGGTAGTAAAACATCTGCAGGGAGACAGTGGGCCTTGCTCTGAACTGAAGGGCACTCAGATTCTTTTTATCCCATTGAAGATTAATTCATTAAATTTTCATTAATTAAATTTACATAAATTAAATATGTAAGACAATTGATACAAATAAATTTTTCTTGTCCTTGGTACCTACTGGCATTATTGCTTAGCAACTGCGTGGTTTTGGTAAACTAATTGGGCCATATTCCTCTAACCACTAAAAACTACATAGCTAAGATCCCGAGTGTCCAAACAAGTGATGTGCTTTGTCACTAATATTAAGTCCTTCGATTATGGAAAGCCCACTAACAGTAGAGCAAAGGGTTGTGCAAGTGTTAATTATGGCAAAAATGTTTTGTACTTTCCAAGTTTTCTCTGTATGTGATTTTATTCACGGTTCCAGGAGCCTCTGGAATGTGGTGATCTACGTATGCGCAGCCTTCTTTCACAGGAGGAATCTGCGATGTGGGCCTCAGGCAGTATTTTTTTTTAATCTCTAAACTATTATGCTACAGATGTTATTGGTATTAACACTAATGTGGCATAAAACAAAAGTTAAACATGATAAATTAAATTTTAATCGAGTAATTTAAAGGAAATTGAATTTATCAGAGTTTTAAAAGATAAAAATAGGCAGATTTTCTTAAGGAAGACTAAATGGTGATTTTTCCCATTCTCAGTTAGCAAATTAAGTAACTTCTTTGCAGTTTCTCAACAGATACTAAATAGTCAGCATTAAGTCAAGTAAATCTGTAATGTCTATGCTTTTCAAGTATCATTGATTACATCATTATTAATGCATCTTTCTGAAAATCAATTTTGCTCAAGTTCCCTAAACAGTGAACAACACAAATTTCTTAAATTATGAACTGAATTCACTTCATTATCTTTCACAAGCCATCCAAGGCTTTGAGGTCCAAAGTGACATGCCCCTTAGGAAGTTTGAGTGAATTAGTCCATCATCAAAAGATTGTGTGAAGGAGATGTCCTGGGCACATGGATTGGATGTCTTTCTCTCTTTCCAGTCTGACATTAAGAGATTGATGCCTGTCTCTAAAGATTATTGAGGGCAACACTGTCCTTCCACTAATCTTGCAGAGTCTTCAGATCTGTTGGGTAGCTCTGCAGACTCCAAGCATCAAGGGTTCACTTGGTGGTGTCCAGAGACCTCACTCAGCTCAGGGGCACTGTTTCTGTTTAATCATCTATCAATATTCATATAATTCATTATAGCCAAGAAGCTGATAGTTAAGCAGGCAAGCTAGTATGAATAGCTGTTGGATGGCTGTGTGGCCAGGATTGATTATAGACATGGCACTTCCTGCCCTGGGAGCTGAATCAGCTTGGTGAGCCTACTGTGGATTCAGAATGCTAGCTAAATGGTCTGGTGTGTACTTCCATCAAGCAAAGATGATTTGTGCCATTAATTTTTCTCACTTATGAGCCTACGTCTATTCACTGGTTCCACTGAGCCCTTGTCATCCTGGGAACCTTATCCTAATGAATGCATGTTATCACAGTACTTTATAGATGTGCTGTTTTCTGAGGAGAACATTCTCACAAATGTCTTTATCAACTGGTGTTGGCTTTTACAAATTATTTGTCACCTGAGGGCTGAGATATGAGGACTTTTCTCACCAAAATCCTCAGACTTTATATATTAACCCAGCACACAGTTTATGTTAAATCATGATTATGTTTATGTATCCTGAATAAAAATTTCATAGAGTGCTTTCAGCATGGGCTTGCTATTATTTTTCTTTAAATGAAAGTCTGTAAAATCTGATGGGCTACCAAGGACCATCTTGTACATTCCCCCTATTTTTATGTCCCTGGTGTTTCATTCCCAATTCTCAGTTTCAAGTTATCAATCTGGGGGTATTTTGGTAGGAAAATAAAAGCATCCAGAGACTCTACTCTGTCACACAGTTGTCCTGATATCTTGCAATTGTCCATTGGCAAGTCTGAACTGTCCTGTCCCCCTCCTTTCTCACCTGTTGGACCACTTCTTATGTTTGTATGCTCTCTTTTGTCTTAAGATAGTCCCTTTCTGCTGGGTATTTTGTATCCACTGACAAATCTGATGTACTGTCTCATCCTTACGACTTCTCGCTGGGTTCCCATCACCATCTATCTGCACACATATGTTCTGGCTCCTATTAAAGCTTACCCTTCCACATCCATCCCATGGTCTCTTGATGCTGCTCCAGCTTGGTGTATGTGTTCAACAATCCCATGGAAACAGTGATGGCAGGGCTATCATCGAGGCTCTACAAGGCCATTACATTCTCTTCTTAATCCTCCTCTTGTCCAACTCGGTGGCCACTCAGAGCATACTTCTCTTCCTCTTACAACCTTTGTGTCCCCACTTGCCTCTGGGACATTGCTTTGTTGTTGTTTTCTTTCTATGTAACTCATTCTGTATTCCATTTTCCTGTGGGAGAAAATAAGTCTTTCTAAACTCTAATGAGCTTGAAACATTGGATAATTTTAGGATTTAGTCCTTGGAACTCTCCTGAATCTACACTCATGACTCTTCTAGCTTGTCAACTTTAAATACCACTTCCATCCCTGACTGCTCCCATGTGTGTATCCTTAACATCAACTTTTCCCCAACTCCACACCCAGAAATTCACCTTCTGAACGTTCATCTCCACTTGGCATTTGGTTGAGTGTACCAAAGACTGAACTCCTGACTCCATGCTTCCCCAAGACCTGTCTCCGTCCTATCTTCTCATTCTCAGGGGATGACAGCTCAGTCACATAGGCACTCATACCACACCCTGAAGCCATACTCTCTCTTTCTGTCTCTTATACTAAACTCACAGCATCTGTAGATCTCTTGGCCCTGACCTTCAAGATGAATCTATAATCTCATCTCTTCTTACCACTCATTACAGCTGCATTAGCACAAACAGCTGCTGTCCATGCCTGGCTTCTTGCCTGGCTTCCCCACTTCTGCCCATCTTTCAGTCTGTTCTCAGGACTGTGGCTAGCACAAGCCCTTGGCTCCCTTTAAGATACTAGAAGTGTGAAAAACCCTCATCTTTCTCATCATAGAATAGTTCAGAATCCTCAATAGTTTACCAGACCTGAATTGCCTGATGGCACCTCTTTCCTCTCCTCTCTTCTCCCCTCCCTCCTCCCCTCCCTCCTCCTCTCCACTCTTGCAGCCTTTCATCTGTTCCTTGCTGTACTAGAAAGCCACAGCCCATCCTCCCCTCTCTGCCTTCAGAGATCTTTCCCCATAGCCTCACACTCTGTCTCCTCTTCTACACTCCCCCAGTTGTCTTGATTAGACCAGTAATTTCCCCATTCTGCATTCGACGTGCATCAATCTGCTGTTTCTATGCACAGTACCTTTGTATTTGTCATTTTGTACCTTCCTAAATCAAAGCACAATGAGAAAAGATCTCACCCTGATCTGTCGAATTAGGGTGACACATAGGTAGAATGGTCTGACCCCTAAAAAAGAGCTGTTAAATGAATTAATTAATGGGTGAAATGAATGAGTTACTGGACACACAAATTGAAGAAGAGACCATGATTAGAGTCCTGTATGTCTCATGTTCTCAAATGTAATTATGCTCATCTCCATCAGCCCTACAGAGTATTGTTTTGATTGTATAGTCTTCTTTCTCATCTGTAACTCAGCAGCAGACTTTTCTTCCTGTTATTGAAATAACAGTTGTCCTGCTTTCTTTTGTTTGTATCATTCCACAAAGAAAAGGTCAATGGTCTTTTTAAAAAACATGTCTAAAAGTTCACTGTCATTGGCTCTCTGGGGGAAATGACAAGCATTGAGGTAATGGAACATTGATCTGTCTGGGGGCTGCCTCTAGTGTGAAGATGACTTGGCAGAGAAGAGGAGAAGCAACGAAGTTTTGCGCAGGGCCATCGAGACCTACCAGGAGGCAGCCAACCTGCCTGATGCCCCTACTGACCTGGTGAAGTTGAGCTTGAAGCGACGGTCAGAAAGACAGCAGTTTCTAGGTGAGAAGCAGAAGCAGCGCTAACTTAGTGAGAGGTGGAACATGACCCCCTTCAGTGGCAGCCACATGATGCCTTCTCAAAGTCAAGGTGCCTTGGAAGAAGCCTGCCTTTTGGCTTCTGGTAACTTGTCTGTCTTCTCTACCTTCGACCAATCCTAGCCTCAGTAATTGTGTGCATCCACATGTGTGTGTATGTGGGGTGGTTATGTATGGGTATATCTGTCTGTGTACAAACAAGTGCATGTATACATGTACGGAAGCAAATATCTATGAATATCTAGGCCAGAGGACAACCTAGATGTCATTCCTCCTTAATTTTTAAAGAAAGGATCTTCACTGGCCTGGAGCTTTTTACATAGCCTAGACTGGCTGGCTTGTTAGTCCTGGAGATTTGTCTGTCTCTGCCTTGCAAGCACTGGGATTACACACTTGCACCAGCATGAGTGGCCTTTTGCTTAGATTCTTGGTATCACATGTCTTCTTCATGCTTGAAAGTCCGGCTTGCCTTCCAGTCATTGAGCTTTTCTCAGACAAGCATACAAGGTTCACGGCTTCTGAGTAAGAACCCTCAAGGTTGTCCTCCAGCCTCTATACACACACTCACATATGCATATAAACGTATACAAAATCATTGTGGATTTCTACATTAATTTGGGAGGTTTTTTGAAAATTTGTTAAAGTAATTATTCAACCTTGAGTTATGGATTGTCTTTGGTTAATTTTTATACCAAGACATTATTTTGCCTCCCAGCCGGAGATCAAGGTCTCTTGGTCTTGTGAAGATGTCTCACCTTCCACAGAAATCCCTCAGTTCTTAGTATAGTCTCTTCTGCTGAGGGGAGAATGAGGCAAGGTTACCTGAGAAGGATCTGAGGCTACTGGACAGAGATCCTGAGATTGCAGGGATATACAGTTGCCTCACAGGAGAACGGGATCTGGACAAGGTATGAGAGGAAGAGCAGCAGGTGTCTGCAGGAGGTACCCGCACGATTGGCACCATTGCTGTCTGCACTACAGAGGGAAGGACTGCCTGGGCAAACCACCGTGCGTCCTGATTGGAATAGTGTTCCCCAGCAATGGGGCACAGACCATGGAGTGAACGGGCCAGATTTCCTTCTGTTAGCTAAGCAGCAGCTGCGTTTGCTGACTGCTGCCTCCTCATATTCCCCTTTGCAGGCATTAATCCCTACAAGGTAGGCTTTTTACAAATGCCAGTCTTCCTTAGTACACCCACTCTGCCCCCATTTGCAGTTTGTTTTTCCAATTTGTAATTGTGACCAAGAGCAATGACAGTGGACCCAGAGTGTTTCTGTCTAAGCCTCTAAGTGAACAGCAGCTCGGGTTTCCTGAGCCATGTAGTGCACCATAGCCTGTTGTCCACCAGAGGCTCCCATAGTACTAGAAAATGTCTCTTCTGTGCGATCAGTACCTAGAGACAAGTTATTGCTGTTAAGAGAAGGCATCCACAGTGAAGCCTATGCCATGTCCCTTGGTGCCCATTTAAGTTTTATACTGACCACTCAACCCAAACTCAGGCTTTCCGTTATCTACACACCATCTAAAATTTTAAAGCTAGTAAACCAAAATTGTCTCAGCAGAATTGGTAACTGACATTTAAGATAAAAAATGTAAATGTGAATTGACTCAGAAAATAAGTATGACTTTACAATTTATGATTGATCTCGTGTTTAGCATCTACATAGGACAATTACAGATAGCATTAGAACTGTGCTCAGGACTTAGTAATCCATTCATAGAGGAAGTCAGATGTAAAGAGTTCTTCAGACTCTGCTAAATCCTCTCTCATGGTCTGTATTCATAATATTTTTAATCCTATTCATCATTTTCCAACACTAGGTCACATGAGAGGTTCTCTACTTACCCTCCAGAGACTAGTTCAGCTGTTCCCTAGTGATACTACCTTAAAAAACGACCTCGGCGTAGGATACCTCTTGATGGGAGACAATGACAGTGCCAAGAAGGTATATGAAGAGGTAAGCACTGGTGCTTTATGAGCTGCACTGAGTTATCTGTAGACAAGTCCACTGATTGAAAATGACATGTGATATGCACTGTGTTTTGTCCTTTTTCTCTTGAATGAAACAGCATGTGAGTTATTATGGCTAACCTTCTGTACTTGGCTTTCCCATTGCTTTTTCTTTCCTTCACTTCCTGTTGGAGCCAGAAAGTCACATCTAGCACAGACTTGCCTCAAACTCATGTAATCTTCCAGCTTCAACCTTTCAACTGCTACCATAACCATTTTTTTTCTTGTTTTATTTTTCTTTATTGGTATGCCTCCATTGTATAGAGTGATGGGTCCCATAAAGACTGTGTGTGTGTCTGTGTGTGTGTGTGTGTGTGTGTGTGTGTGTGTGTATACATACACCATATCCACTCCTGTATCTTGATTGTAATGATTTAAATTTTAGTTAATTTTTATTTAAGTTTCATTTTTATCAGTCTGTATAGTCAATTTTCTAAGGGTTTTTGTTGTGAGAGTAAAAAGGATGAGGTTAATAAATGTAAATAATATACAGTTTCCAAGTTTTGCAGTGTGAGGCTCTCAGGCAAAAGTCAGAGATGATACCATTGATGTTCCCATCCTCTGGCCGAGATGGCTTTCAAAGGATTTCTACATTATAGTGGACCTTTTAATAGATAAGCTCTAAGTCACAAGTAACTATAAAATCTAGAAAACTGGTTCCTTTAGGCAACAAGTGAATTTATTTGGTGTAAAGCAAACAGTCTGTCGATTTCACTTTGAAGCAGGAGAAAGCTAACAGCTCTGTAAAACAAAGACAGACGAGGGTCCTTGTTCTTTAACTTGAGCCTCTGGATCAATGGTTTCCAAGCTGCTGCCTTTACATTAAATGCTACTTCCATGAGCTAGGTGTGTAACAGAAGGGTCTCTTCTGTGTTGGAAACAAGGTCAGCAGCAGCAACCACCCCCCACCCCCCAGTCTGCTCACAAAGATGTACTTGCCTCTATTGTGCTTAATTGTAAAGTCATTGAATTTTGAAGCTGTTGTCTTTCTACTCTTGTCATAATTTGATTGTTTTTGACAGAGCAGAAATTTGACCTTGGCTTTTTATGACATCATTAATACCTGTGTGGTTGACTGAGACTACAGCATTGCAAATGTGTGTTTTCTAGAAAAGGCCTGCACCAGGCCATCACATAGTTCCATAGCAGACATATTGTCTGCCAACATACCCAGTGTCCCCTCCATGTGGGACATGGTATCTGGTAACATACCCAGTGTCCCCTGTCCTTCAGAGTTTGGTTAAAAGAAACATCATGTGTTACTGTGATTCAGGATTATGTGAATATAAAAATGAACAAACCATCTGAGACACAAGACAGAAGTCCAGTCATCCTTCCTACTTGTATGTCCCCTCCTTCCCATACTCCTTCCTTTCTTCTCTTTGTAAAATTCATTCTTGTTTCCCAGTTCTCTCTTTTCCTTCCTTCTAGTATCCTTTTCTCATCCTCCATTTCAGTCTAAACAGCCCAGTGAAGTATGTCCTAAGAGCCAAGCACAAGCAAGGTCAACACATACTGACCAACATCTAACTGAGTTTTCCTCTCCCACCTTCTTGAATACACTCATCCCTTCGACCTGACATTAACTCTTAGAAATGTGGAATGTTTTTCTTTACCTTGAAAACCAATATTATGTTGTGGTGTTTATTCACCTAGGACCATATTCTCACTTGATTGAGCATACTAGGATGCAAAAAGCTCCAGATATTTCCCTATCACACAACTGATTGTTTTTCTTTTAAAAGAAGCATTCATTCATTGGAAGTAATGGGCAGTGCTCCTCTGGCTTTGCTTCTTACTTCTAAGCTAATGAGCTGTGGCTAATGAATACTCTTTCCCTAACCAAAGATTGGCCTGGTGTGTTTATCTCTTTTTCCAAGGTCATTTCAGAAACGAATATGAGGGCTGCATACTTTTCTTCACATTGATTTTTGAGTACATATATAAAAATCATTGTGAAATCCTAATTTTAGGTTTTTGTTGTTGTTGTTTATTTGTTTTCTGTTCTTGTTTTCAGCCCAGAGACTAGCATTACAGAGGTTAGGTAGAAGCTGCTCACATCTGTAATTTTTGAGGACTCCTCCTACATCTCCTTCTCAAGATTCTTTCACCAGCTTGGGATCCCAACCCAACATCATCCCAAGTTCTTTGCTACCCTACACATCTTCTGCAGATGCATCACTCAGCCAGCACACATTTATTAAATGCATACACAGCAGCTGGGTACCTGAGCTTATTGAAGCAACAGAGAATGTATCTTTGTGTCTTCACAGAGCTTACAATCTGGGGCCAAGTCACCAGTTGTTCCTTTTGTTTTCCAAATAGATCCACCTTTTCAATGCTTTCAGCAGACACTGATCACCTTTTGTTTGAACTGACCCAGATCCCTCTGCAGGATTACTGTCCTAAAATATTCATATACCCCACACACCACCTGACCATGGCTCTAAGCACCAAGTCTTCCAGGCCTCCTGTATCAGTGTTCTTTAAATATCCTTTATGCTGTACCCTTTCAGGCAAAAGTGTTCAATCTGATGTTCATAATTTTTTGTAGATTAAAGTGTTGTCTATTCATATATGTATATACATGTGGTACATACTTGATAAAAAAAATACACACCCTCCAAATAAGATTTTAAGCTCAAATGAAATATTTCGAGTGCTTCTTAAATATTACTGAACTGACAAAAATCCTTTCACTCTTAGTAAAATGTTATTATTTCAGTCTGTTCACTGTGAAGTGCTACTCATGGTTTGGTAGTATCCTTGCATCCGTAATGAATACCCACATGGATGCCTAAAGATGAAGATTGCCCTTAACACTGCAAGTGTGATACACTTCAGTGTTGCTTTGAGTCATTATTAAATGAGACGTCGATTGTTGGAACTCACTATAGTCCCTGGAGCGGTCAGGTTGGTGATACAGACAAATATTGACAGCAAAGTCAGGTAGCATTTACAATGTGGACAGGCTGAAAAGTCAATGGCTTATATCCCAGGCAAGATAGAGTATAATTTCACATTCCCTCATGCTACTCACAGTGATAACAATTTAGATCATGGATTCTTTTGTTGTTGAACTCTGCATCTGATCCCATCAGTTGCTAGATGAAGTCTCTCTGATCTCTCTGATGACTATGCTAGGCTTCTGTCTCAGCACATTATGCAGAAATGGCAGAGGCTTTATGGCTGGGTAGAAATGTCAGAGGTTTTATGGCTGGGTAGGTGTCCCAATCCCTCCACTTGAGGCCTTGCCTGGTTACAGAGTATGGCCAGTTCAACTCTGTGTCCCCCATTACTAGGACTCTACACTAATGTCACCCCTGTAGATTTCATGAACTTTTCATTGTAGTAGGTTTTTACCTAGCTCCCAAATCCCCCCCCCAATTCTAGTGGTCTCTTTCAGTATTCCCTCCCTCCATGTCCACACCCACGCTTGATTCTTTCTGTTCCCATCTCAATTAGCCCCAAGTCTACTCAAGGAAACAATTCTATTTCCCCTTCCCAGGAAGATCCTTGCATTGCACCTTAAGCTCTCCTTGTTATCTAGCCTCTCTGGGTCTGTAGATTGTAGTACACTTAGCTACAGCTAATATCAACTTATAAGTGAGTACATACTGTGTTTGTCTTTCTGAGTCTAAATTACCTCACTCAGGATTTCTTCTAGTTCCATCCATTTAGCTGCAAATTTCGTGGTGTCACTGTTTTAACAGCTTAGTAATACCCCATTGTGTAAATGTACCACATTTTTTTAAAAATCCATTCTTCAATTGTGGGATATCTAGGTTGTTTCCAGTTTCTGGCTAATATGAATAAAGCTGCTATGAATATAATTGAGCAAATGCCCTTGTAGTGTTTGGAGCAACCTCTAGGTATATACTAAGAAATGGTATGGGTAAGTCTGGAGGAAGATTAATTCTCACGTGTTTGTGATACTGCTATATTGATTTCCAAAGTGGCTGTACAAGTTTTCACTTCCACCAGCAATGGAGGAATGTTCCCTTTGTTCAACATCCTTGCCAGCATGTGTTGTTAATTGTGTTTTTTTTATCTTAGTCATTTTGACAGGTGTAAGATGGAATCTCCAAGTTGTTTTGATTTGCATTTAATAAGTTTAGGCATGTTGGGGGTTCATTGTCATTGAATTCTAGGAAGTTTTTAATTTCTTTCATTTCCGCCTTGATCCAGTCATTCCGTATATAGAGTTGCTCAGTTTCCATGAGTTTAGATACTTTCTGTTGTTCTTGTCATTTTTGAAATCCAGCTTTAATCCACTGTGGTGTGATAGGATGCAGGGAGTTAGTTCAGTTTTCTTGTATCTATTGAGACTTGCTTTGTGATGGGGTATGTGGTCAGTTTTGGAGAATGTTCCCTGAGGTGCTGAGGAGAAGATTCAGTCTTTTATGTTTGAGTGAGTTGTTTTGTAGATTAGCTCCATTTGGTTCATAGCATCTGTTAGTTTCATTATTTCTCTGTTTAGCTTATAGCTGGATGACCTGTCCATTGGTGAGAGTGGGGTATTGAACGTGGGTATCAGTGTGTGAAGGTTGATGTGTAATTTAAGCTTTAGTAATGTTTCTTTTACAGATGTGGGTGCCCTTGCAATTGGGTGTAGATGTTGAAAATTGAGATGTCATCTTGGTGGATTTTTTCCTTTAATACATATGGAGTGTCCTTCCCCATCTCTTTTGATTAATTTTGGTTTGAAGTCTATTTTGCTAGATACTAGAATAATAGATATGCCAGCTTTCCTCTTGGGTCCATTTGCTTGGAAAATTTCTTTCTAACTTTTTACTCTGAGGCAGTGTCTATCTTTGATGTTGAGATGTGCTTCTTATAAGCAGCAGAAGGATGAGTCTTGTTTTCATATCCATTCTGTTTGTTTTTGATAGAGACTTGAGTCCACTGATATTGAGAGCTATCAATGATCAATGATTGTTAATTCCT